CTCCGGCCAGGAAGCCAAACAGTCCAACAAGCCTCGTCTCATGGTCACTGCAGCTGTTGCTGCAGGACTTTCCACCATCCAGGCTGGCTATGAGATTGCTGAGATTGGCAAGTGAGTGAAAACCTCCCAGGATCTTTGCTGGGACTTCAGTGCTTCCCTGCAGTGGTGCAGAGGAAGCTCAGGAGCCCCTGGGGGAGGCAACAGTGCAGGCAGTGGGGCCAGGGCTGTGCTGGGGTGACCACTCAGAACTGGAGGAACCATCAGCTCTGGGCCCTGAGCAGGGCAGGGCACAGACAATGTTCTCCACAGGTACCTGGACTACATCCACGTGATGACCTACGACTTCCACGGCTCCTGGGAGAGGAACACTGGTGAGAACAGCCCTCTGTTCGAAGGTCCTGCTGACACTGGTGACTACAAGTACTTCAATGTTGTAAGTGTTTTTGTGGGACAGAATCACAGGGCTCAGCCCTGGGATTGCTCCGGTGAGGAGGTGTTTAGAAATGCCTCATCCTGCTTGCAAATCCAGGTCAAGACTTGACAAGGAATGTTGTCTTGCAGGAATATGCTATGAATTACTGGAAGAGCAATGGTGCCCCAGCTGAGAAGCTCCTTGTTGGATTCCCCACCTACGGAAAGAGCTTCACCCTGCAGAACCCATCTGACACTTCTGTTGGAGCACCAGCATCAGGCCCTGGCCCAGCTGGACCTTACACCAGGGAGGCTGGAACACTGGCTTACTATGAGGTATGTGTGCTCTAATCACACACTCCTTTGAGTGGTTTGAAGGAGGAGTCAGGAAGGCACCCATGGAGCTGTCTGGATTGCTGCCTCAGGCACAGACTGTCCATGGAACTGCTAAAAGTAAGTTACTTATTCTCAGGGAGCAGAGAAATGACACAAAACTAGAGAATAAAGGTAATGGCAGAGTTTGGACTATTCCTGTTTTGCATGACAATAACATTCCATCTCTTGGTCCTTCTCCCTAGATCTGCAGTCTCCTGAGCTCTGGAGCCACTCAGGCTTGGGATGAACCCCAGGACGTGCCCTATGCCTACAAGGGCAGTGAATGGGTTGGCTATGACAACATGAAGAGCTTCAGCATCAAGGTATGGTGGGACTGGGGCTGTGCTGGGAAGCAGCAGCAGCTCCTGCAGGAGCAGCTCCCACAGCTGATGGGGATCTCTCCCTGGCCCTGCACAGGTTGACTGGCTCAAGAAGAATAACTTTGGCGGTGCCATGGTTTGGGCTCTGGACATGGATGACTTCACTGGCACTTTCTGCAATGAGGGCAAATACCCCCTGATCTCCACCCTGAAGAAGGGCCTTGGTCTGCAGAACGGCGGTGAGTGACCCCAGTAGGGTGTGAGCAGCTCCTCGAGGAGAGTCCCAAGGTCACTGCTGGTCCATGAACCTTCCTCTAGGAGCCCTGGTGGGGAAAGGCTCTCTGGGGAAGCCATAAGTAGACATTACCCTCTAAAGATCCCTTCACTCTGTATCCCTGGGATAAATGTCCAGATTGTCAGCTGGACCTGCATCCAGATATGCCAAAGGCTTGAGATCAGCCAGAGCAAACTTTGGGGGGACACACTGACCACAGCACCGAAGGGTCTATGAAGGGAGGGGAGGGCTGAGCCTGCCAGTGTGAAAACAATCCTTCTCCTGCTCTGCTTCCAGACTGTGTGCCTCCTGCTGAGCCCCTGCCCCCCATCACTGAGGCTCCCACCACCACCACCACCAGCGGCAGCGGCTCCGGCGGGCAGCGGCTTCTGCGCTGGCAAACCCAACGGCATCTACGCAGACCCCGAGAACAAGAGGAACTTCTACAGCTGCCTCAACGGCCAGAGCTACCTGCAGAGCTGTGAGCAGGGCCTTGTCTTCGACCCTGCCTGCTCCTGCTGCAACTGGCCATGAAGGTCCCCATGCTGCCCCAGCCTGAAGCTCCCTCTGATCTCACTGCACACAAGAGTGATTCAATAAAGCTTTCTGCAACAGCAACAATCCTCTGGTTCACTTCGTTTTGTTCTTGTTATCATTGTCTCATGGTGCTCACGCCTGTGCTCAGGGCAGGGCCTGAATCCACAAGTTGGGCTCAAATCCAGCATGGCTTTGAGCCACATTTTCCAGTGCTTTCCTGCTGCTCTACCCTTAGAGCCACAGGGAGCCAACACAAGAGTCATCACAGAGGAGGGTTATGACATCACAGTCGCAGGAGCCAGCACAGCACATTCCACAGGGATATTACTAATCCTCCTCTATTCCCTGCACTCTCCATGTGCTGCCATCACCTTCCAGCACCCCCTGCTCCGTGCCTATAGCAACGGGAGTACACACACATCCTGGCAGGCTCTGGCAGGGCAGCATGGCAGCATGGCAGAAGCCAAGGGGTGAGCTGGGCAAGGTGTGGGCACCCAGGGGGTTTGTGGGCACAGCAGGGCTATTCTTCTCACACAGCTGCCCTGTGGCATCAGCCTACCCAGCAACCTCCCCACAGCTGGGCTGCCTGGCTGAGGAAAAAGAGGTTTTGTGACAGGAGGGAACAGACATCCACAGGGCAGACCCGTCAGCCATCCAGGGGCAGGGCAGTTCCCAGCTGGGAAGTAAGGGGAAGGGAAAAAAGCTGCAGGTGGTCACTTCTTTTTTTAACCTTTATTTTTTTTCTGGTTTATCACACTGATGGCACTTTCCTGGCCTCAGGTGTGCAGCAGATCTCATTTGGGACATGTCAGGA